AAGGAAATTCCCGCTAAGATATTGAAATGAGGCCGTAAAAATAAGTACTGATAACGAGATTAATCATTTCTGCTTGATTACAACGGAATAAGTGAACGATCACTAATGATGGAAAAAGTAATATAAAAATGGAATTTGACTAATTCAACGATAAGATGCGCAAACACAATTGTACTAACGGGAGCAACATCGAGATATTCATCTGCTAGATGCATAGCTGTTTTTGTGGATTGCAGTGCTTCTGATGGGATCCAGTCACGCCAGCCGATATGAAGCTCAGGTGCACATGAGTCGACCTGTAAAAATATTGCATTTGATGTCTAACGGCAGACTTTCTAACGAGCAATTCATATGTGGACAATCACAACACTAACCAATGCACCCAGTAGCACACCATCGTTCCAATCTGAAGTGAAATTATTGAGTGGTAGACCAGGCGGCAATTTAGCTTTGATCCACATCATCAATTTCTGCTTTGGTGTTCGTTCTGGCTGTTGTTCTGCTAGACGTTCTTGGTTTGGATCATATGGCAAGTCCCATTCAGCTTTCGATATTGAATAATGAAGAATCAACGTCCACACCAAACCCAGAATTAGTTTCAGATTCTTATCCACTATTGCCGAACTGTCTGCAAATAAAAAACATCAATCGAAAATTGTTCGTGCTAAATTCTCTTCAAACAAACACCTTCGGAAGATTCGAAGCGTTAAAAACGAACAATGAAAAGAATGTTGTACGTACCGATACTAACGATTTTGATGTGCTCCTCATTCTCCAAGAAATTCAATGCAAGTGAAATATTTTCAAGTTTCTGTGATCGGAATGTAACACGTTTATTGAAACGACCTAACGATTTACCCGACAATACTTCAACCAATCGAATCAACTTCAAACCCTCTTCAAAGTCTGTCTCCTGAAATAAATCCNACCAAATTGTCAACAGAGACGTTCGCACATCTCAGGTGTTTATTCACCCATCGTGTGAAAGTATTCTGTTGAATTTTCTTCCATTCCGCATCCGGATGTAATCCAGCTGAGAGATACTGCAAAATTCATCGTTTACAATCGCCATTCGTTCGGTTGCATATTTCAAGAATCCTTTCGTAATATTTCAAGTTACATAACTGATCATACAGTTATGACTGCAACTGAACCACTATAAAAATAAAAAAGTAACGAACATCACTAGACGGATCCTCGATCGCTGGGCTCAGCGACATGTCCTCTTTGAGATCGATCGCTCGTTCGTTGAGAAAATACTTCTGAAATAGATGAATTGTATTTTGCAGAGACACTAGCCCGACTCATAATAACACATTCGATTATCACATACAGAATAATGAACTGCATCGCTGTAATTATCATAAATTCATCTAAAATACACCACCTTATTTCATTCGTCACTAAGCCCAGGGAATACAATCTTGCCTTGCCGAGTTTTTGAAGTGCGATCTATCAAATGAGTATGGAACACCTTACTGATCGTTTTTTTGCATAGCGGAGGAGCAGAATGGAAGGAAGGTCCAATAGAAGAAGAGGGATTTGTCAGCGAAACGGAGATTAAAAGTT